CAAGAATTAGACCAATAAACAAAACAACTGACAAAACTTATTGAGGAGGGTAAATAAAGCTCTCCGAGCTAACGGGGCAATGAGTTCACACAGTATATTCAAAAGATGTATTTGTCACATCAACTCAAACCATAGTTGTTTTGTGGAACACTTCTCATGACAAACATCTGACTGGTCAGACAGTTTAGCTGTGATTACAGAGTGCTTGACTTGATGCAGACTTGACAGAGTGTCAGTACTGCACCTGATCGTGTCTGTATGATTATGAAAGGTAAAATAATGATCACAACTATTACATCATTTTAATTGTGCATCCCAAGCCCATGCCAGTAAAAAAAAGTAGCGCAATTACCATATCCCAAATATAAAAATGTAATTTCCATCCCTAAAATACATATTTTACAGTCACTTTTATGCACATTTATCATAAACACAGCTCAAATGCTTCCTACTAGTGTGGCCCAAAACATTTAGCACAGTTTTATTACAGGTAGAATGCAAAATGTTTCAGGACAAGCATTTCAACCAAATGTAATTTATGCAATATTTCAAACCTTTAACCCACTGGGGAAAATCAACCCATGGCATTAAAAGCAGCCCAATTCCGTGGAAAAAACCCAACAACAACCCTGCATCCAACACGAGCTGCAGGAGTCAGATTTGACTGATCACGGGTCAAAAGTAAAGAGCGATAACTGACAAGATGTTGGAGGATTTGCTCCTCAACAGATCCCGAGCTCACTGACAAATATCTTTTATCGTAAGATAAGTAAGTAAATATCTTTTTATCGCGAAATCGAAAGTGAACTGCGACTGCGAACAAATACCCCACATATTGATAGCGGTGCCCTGATGCGCGAAAATTATATACAATTCGAATGTTTGCGGGAGCAGACACAAAAATCGCGGGAGCGGATGGGAGCATGCGGTAATGGTTAGAAATTCAGCAATAGCGCTATCACGCAGCGGCTCAGTCAGTCAGTGAGCGCCGTAACAGATGACGTCTATAAAAAAACTACACAGAACCCCACTATTTGGACAAATATACATAATGAAAATATGATACAAAATGTAATACCTTGGAAACTGACATTTCGCTCCATTGCGTTCTCAACTTTTCCATTTCACATGCTGGTTAAATGTAGCACCTTTATGGCCATGAGAAATGGAAGCATCTCCGAGGAGAAATAAAAAATGTATTTTACACAGACAGATTAAAGCCCTACATAAAAAAAAGCCTCCATCAGTAAAGCAATTCAATATTAAAGCCTGATAAAACAGCACAATTTGCTATTAAATGGTTGGATATTTAACTGAATTGTTCAGAATTCATAAAAATTAAATAAATCAAAACTAAACTAAACCAAACAAATAACAACTAAAACGAAACAACAAAACAAAACACTAAATGTTTGGATACTTCAATAACTTGCTCAGAATAAAAACAAAAAACAAAACGTTTGGATTCTTGACCTGAGAATAAAAAAACAAACAAACAAATAAATAAACTTAGCCTCTAATTGAAGCAAATAATTTATTTTATTTCTGTAATATAATGGATATTGGTTGGACACATGAAAACACACACACACACACACACACACACAACAAAACAAACAAACAAATACATAAAACCTTGTCTATAATAAAAAAAAAAAGTTGTGAAGAAGTTGCATAGATGCATTATATTGCTGTACATTTTGTCATGCATGTTAAAATTAAGACTCAGTGATCATCTTGAGCATTAAGTGCCAAAGGGCCCAAGAGCTTAGTGGGCAGCTTGCAGGATGGCCTAGGTACCCTATATAGTGGGCAGCTTGTGCTCTTCGTGCCAAGAGGCCTAGATGCAATGTGGTGAGGGGCCTGGAGCACTCAGTGGTCAGCTCATGCTATATTCACAAAGAGGCCAAGGGGCTCTACTGTTCAGCTGCCATTGCCCATTGTGGCCAGCAGCATTTAAACCTCCTGAGTGTGTGTTTTGTTGGTGTTTGTGTTTGGATGCTCACTTGACATCATAGCGGTGCATGAACATGATGTGATCTCTGTATGTACGATTCACATCCAGATCAATCTGACGGACATCTGGAGACAAACCCCTGGCTCTGATCTTCAGTTTCTGGGGAAAGAAAGAGACAGTTCATGGAGTTCATAATAAATATTACTAACTATATAGTCAACACTCTGCAGGCCACAAATGCATCTAACGACACGCTCACAGACCACAGCATGATTTCTGCCACACAAACAAGTTAAAAAGTTAAAAGGGAATGGAGGCTGCAAATCATATTTTCTGTCCAGTTGGATGCTGCAGGGCTTTAGTAAAGCTGCTATTGTCTGTTTGGAGTGATATTTCCCTCTGTGGTGTGTGTGTCAAACCACATAAGTGTTACATTGCAAACCTCAGGGGTTGGCTATTTTGGAAAGTCATATTTAAGCAAAGAGTTTGTGATTGCCTCTCTCTTTCACATACACACACACACACATTTCTGTGGAATAAACTAGCTCTGAAAAAAGCCATGACTATGCTGGAATGGAGAAACTGCATTTACTTCATAGAAGTCCTTTTTCTCCTCCTTGATTTTGGGGATGTCGAGCAGCAAACACCAAACCTGACCTCTGAGCTGCAGCGGAATTCCCTTATAGATCCTCCTCACCAGCTACACAAACGCACAAAAAAGCACAATTAGAATTCAAGAAATCTCTAAACCTCAACTATGTGAGTGAACACATTGTAGTCATGAATAAAAAATAAATATTGTTTTTAATGTTTGTGAAAGAAGCCTCTTACGCTCACCAAGACTGGTGATCAAAAATACAGTAAAAACAGTGATATTCTGAAATATTACTACAATTTAAAATAACTTTTTTTGTATACTATTTTCTATAATATTTTTATATTTTACTATGGGGGGGGGCGGTATATATATACACAGTATATAATATAACTTCAATGATGTGGCCACAGATACTGCTGGCCTGGTTATTAGGACACGCTCAATATGGATAATCACGCTGTCTAAACACATTCAATAGCAGAGTAATGGAATACATCTGTGTGTCTGTGTCTCTCACAGATAATTTTGCAGTCAGTAAAGATTAAACTCCCATCAGAGGGCAGATTAAAAGCACAAAAGCAAAATGCTGAAACCACAAAAGCTAATGGCCGGCGTGAATCGTCTCTCAGCTACAATTAAACTCACCCGCTGGAACAGAGAGAGGAAGAGAGAGAGAGAGATGTACGACTGTGGAGGGGTTGAGAGGTGAAAGAGAGGAATGAACACTCTTCCGTTTCCTGCACTCATCTGTCCACATTACTGCCGCTAAGTGATTTCCTGAACGTCTCTTCTGCCCTCAGGGCCAATCCATGTGTGTATGTGTGTGTGACTTGATGGCTGCTGAGTACTTCACTTACTATAACGACAATATTATTAATAATCTTCGGGAGGCTCTTGAGGAACTGATTATTGACAGACAGCAGTGGGCACATATCCCACAGCCACAAACCTAATGACTGTGTGTGTGTTTCTGCCTCTATTCTCAGCAAAATGAGGCGATTGAGATGAGTTTGTTTATTTGAATAAAACGAGACATTACAAATCGGCAGGTGTCTGTGTGTGTTTAAGTGTGTTTGTTGACGGGGATTGGTTTTGTAATTGCAGACGTGTAAGAAGTCAATGACTCCATCTGTTCTACACGAAAAAAAAAAAAACTCTTTGAACAAGATTTAAAGCGAGCCAAGTCTTTAGAGTGAGTGTGTGTGCAGTACAGTGAAATCAGAACCCAAACAAACCTGCAGATCGAAACTATGTAGCAGGGTATCCCAAAGTGGATTTATATAAACGAATAATTTAATTATAAAAATGTAAAATTGAAATAAATCAATAAAAAATATTAAACTGCATGTCATTAACTGGCATCGAAAAACTGTGAACATGCAAATTTGTCATTAAATTACTGTAATATTAACGTAAAATCCCATGGGGTAACTCAAGTAAACATTTTAGGTCAAATGGGTTTAGCTGACAAAAATGTTTGAGAATCCCTGCTGTATCGATTATAAAACCATATAGATGGTTAAACAACACAACTAAATAATGCCAAAACATACAAAATATTTGTATACTTATCTGGATGAACTGTTTCGCATACGGACAATTCAAGAAAATTAGTAGTACATTTCAAATTGACACCATCTTAAAAATGCAAGACTTGGAGCATGGGCCAAATACTGAAAAACAGTGAAATAGGCGAAACATCAATGATAGCGTGGGCTAGACAGCTGAAGCTCAAACAGGACATGAACTAGGTGGGACGTGTCTGGAATGCCACATTTGGTGGTAGAGTGGTTAAAGTGATCTGAGGTCACCCCAATCTATCCTGAATGCCAGAGGGAAAAAAAAACAAAACAACAAAAACCTAACAAAAACGCAAATCACAAATCACTTTCGTCTACATGCAAATCCTGGCCACTGTCATGAGTCTCTATGGCTTATTATGGTATGCATTTCCATTGTTGACGAAATCATGTCTATGAATGTAATGTCATCAATCATTTTTTGCAAAAAGAGGGCTTTGAATGACACCGTAAGCAGCCGATGTTAGCTTGAGGTTTTCAACACTGTAAGTGCTGAAGCAGACCTCTGAATGTTCACTAACAATCGGCCAATCAGGTCTGAGCTTGAGCTAAACCTTAGCAACAATAAAATGTGTCACTAGCTGCATTTCTATTACCCCTCAAATTGCGCACATTAAAATTGTATATTGAAAATACGCGCAATGGAAACACGTCAATTTCGCAAAAACTCCCATATATTGCAAAAAATGTTTTTACGCTCGCTTTAGGCGGCTTTTAGGGCAATTCGAAAAATATTTCACAAAACTGCAATTTAAACCGGTTTTCCGCATTTACAGGTCATCTGGGGTACGTAAAAGCCACATGATCATTCGTCGATCACATGATCATGAACATCCGCTGCCATGACTTATCACGAGAGGAAAAAAGTGGCATAACATTTAGTCGCATGACATTGGTTCATAGAAATGGCGTCATTTCACAACAGTGTTTAAAAAAAATCAACATTTATAAAATATCACAAACGTTTTGCACGGTAACGAGGTTACTTAAAGCTGCAGTCCATAACTTTTTTGTGTTCAAAATGTACAAACTTTTTATAACAAGCGAGTACACCATGCATCCATTTTCCAAACCGTGTTTTTGGCTTGTCCTGAATCACTACGGTACACCTATAATAAGTGTTTATATTCGGACTATTTTAGACTGGTTCGGGTAGGGACCGCTGCAGAGTAGCCCAGTACCTGCGTGATTCGTCATAGACATAAACAGAAAGAAGTAGCTCCGGCTACAATGTACTTCCGCAAGACACACACAGTTCTGTTTATTAACCGCTTGAAATATATTCATAGCAATCAATCCACACAGATATTTGTAATCTGAAGTTTCATTTCTGATGGATGCGTAAAAACAAAATGGCTGGAGTAGCTATGCAGTCAAAAAATTTTTACAGTTTTGTTGTGCTTTTGATGCATTGCAGCATGCTGCTTATGCTCATTTAGTTCAGACGCAGTGTGACAGTCTAATCAAACTAATTGGACTAATAATAAGAAGTAATAATTAGTTCTACTCAGAGTAATAAACTGCACAACTGTCACGCTCCACCTCAGGCAATTATGAAGATTTCTCATTTCACACTAGACACTGTTAATGGACAGTAATGCAATTTAACACACTAACAGCTGCCTGAAAATGTCCAAACACATAGACGAAAAGAAACCGATGGATTTTGTTCAGCTGCAGCAGGACAGTGGTTTTCTTAGGGGAACGGTCCAATGACACCCAATACACAGGACAGAGACAGCCAAAGGGAACTTTAGTCATTTACACACACAAGATGAAAGACTGAGAATCTGCCTTTCTCAAAGTCCTTCAGAGAGTTACAGTCTGTTTATGAAGGACACGCACCTTGTCACTGTTCTTGTATTTCTCCCAGCTCTTCAACATTTTCAGCCATTTTGTCGTTCTCTCCACTTCCAGATGTTTTTGCTAAGCAGACAGAGTGCAAACACACAGTACAATAAATTAAACAAAAGAGACAAAAACACACCTAAATGTTTAATCTAAAGCAATACTAGGTGGACTTTCATGAAAATGGATTTCAGTGAGATCTAGAATGCAATATTAGAACAGCCATATTAAAATTTAGGAAGTAACCCCCAAACAAGTCATTTTGAATATCTGCTCTGCTTTTTTCTTCTACATGAACATAATGGCCTCTGAGGACTCAGTTTCTCCAATTTAGACATCATTATTACGTTACAACATGACACTTTAAGTGCTTTCTGTCATGATGATAAATGTGCGATCAAGAAATAAAAATGTGACCCTGGACCACAAAACCAGTCATAAGATTAAGAGAAATTGATGCATCATCTGAAAGCTGAATAAATAAGCTCTCCATTGATGTATGGTTTGTTAGGATGGGACAATATATGGCCGAGATACAACTATTTGAAAATCTGGAATCTGAGGGTGCAAAAAAATCAAAATACTGAGAAAATCGCCTTTAAAGTTGTCCAAATGAAGTTCTTAGCAAGGCAAATTACTAATCAAAAATTACGTTTTGATATATTTACGGTAAGAAATTTACAAAATATCTTTATGGAACATGATATTTACTTAATACCCTAATGATTTTTGGCATAAAAGAAGAATCGATAATTTTGACCCATACAATGTTTTTTTGGCTATTGCTACAAATATACCCAATCGACTTAAGACTGGTTTTGTGGTCCAGGGTCACAAATTTCAATTTAAGTCACTTTTCTGAGTCATTTTTGCATTTACGTTTAACCAACTGGTGACAAAGGGATTTTTAGTAGAAGTATGAAGTCCATTCTGCTCAAGTTCAGACAGGTGCCCTAACTTTCTTTACAATTAATGCAACTAATCCAATGACATGCATTTATTTTATATATTATATATTCTGCCATTCTACACAGGAAATAAGGTGATTAACTGTGATAAATTACAAAACATAACCCTGCTGAAATCTATGGAAGACCGTTTCCACCACTGAATAATAAAAAAAAAAAGGTAATTGCGACATTCTTTCTCAGAATTGCGTGATACAAACTCGCATTTGCAAGTTTATAATGTCCAGTTCTGAGGGGAAAAAAGACTCAAAATTTCTCAGAATTGCGAGTTTATATCTCACAACTGACCGTTCACAGGGAGCTTGATTGACAGGCCATCTGACCAATCAGAACGTGCATATTATGTGCAGGGGCAAAAATCATAATGGATGAGTAGTTTGTTCCAATATTTTCTATTGCCTAGTTAAAAACGGTTGATAAAACATTTATACTGTATTTAAAAGTATTTTTCTCATCCTACTGATGTATTTGCTCTAGTTTTCCAGATAAAACATTCTGAGGTTTTCACGGATGCACTATGAAAGTATCAAGTCGGCTTTAAACTTATCACATTTTTGGTGTCACAGACACAAATACAGCACTTGACTCACCTTTTCCTCCACTACGTCATACACTGGAAGCTCATCCTCACTGTGAAAGACAAATCACATCAGATTAAAGAAGGGAAATATACACTTGGACTAAACTCAATTCTCTTCTGTTGAAACAAAAGTGTTTAGTCAGACTACTGGACACACAGAGTTTCACAGATGGTTTCAAATAGCCACTAATGTCTGCCCACTGTTCACATAACATGATGGCCGTACAGGGAGAGAAATCGCATCAATAAATCATACACTGGTTTATGTTGCTGACGTCAAATCTTATCGTCAAATGTATTACTGAAAAAGGAATTACTTTGTTCCACAGGAAGTCCACTCGTTGGATAAATAAACATCACTATTGGTAATGATGCCCCCGTGACCCCCACCCCTGAATCTGTTCAAAGTGCAAGATCTTAGTCAGCTACACAAACAGGAAATGACTGTTTCCATGGCAGCCATTTTGGAACTGATCTGGGATATCCATGAGGTAACCCAGGGAAGTCGTGATACGACATTAAGGCTCTGTTCCAAACCCTAGTGAGGTTCCTTTTTGTCTACATAGGCAGCTACGCTAATTAAAATTCAAAGTTAGTGAAAATTCAATCAGTGTAATTACTGACCCTTTGTTCATATGGTATTTATAAAGCAAAAACATGAAATCAAAGGGGGGAAAAAGCAAACAAAAATCAAAACAAAACAAACAACTTAAGATACAGAACAAACAAAAATAAATAATACTAAAACACAAGAACAAAAAACAAAGTAAACAGAGCAAAAATATATGCATATAAAAATGCAAACAAACATCAAAACAAAAAAGCAAAACACATATTAGAATTAAACAAACAAAAACCCTAAAAACAAAAGACAACAAATCAAAACAAACAAAAAACTTAAGATATAGATAAAAATAAAAATAATAATAATAAAACAAAAAGCAAAAAAAAAAAAACTAAACATTTAAACAACAACAAAAAAAACCCTAAAAAGTAAAAAACAGCAAATCAAAACAAACAAAAAAAAACAAACCAAAATGAATAATAATAAAACACAGGAACAAAAAAACTAAGCAAAAATAAATAAAATATAGAGCAAGCAAAACAAAAAACATACAAAGCAAACCAAAAAGAAAACCGTAAGAAACACTGGCATGTGTTGCCTATCTCACATCTGCATATAATTCCTTGAACCTTTCCAGTTATTTACCTTTAACTTATCTTTCAATCTTTTTCAGTCTCTTTCTCTCAGCTACTGTTATTTTTTTGTATCCATTTTTCTTTCCTCCTGTTTCTCTGCCCCTACAATTATAGAGACATGATCTGCCAGACACATGTGGCACCCTATAAATATCGCATAGTGCACTGCTGTTTAAGGGGCCTGGGTAAGCCACAAACCTCCCTGCCAGGGCGAGAAGAGAGTAGAACTGAGAAGACAGGAGAGGCCAAAGGAGCAGACAGACACCAAGATAAGGGTGTACAGTGAACGCTCAGACTCCTTGAGCTCTCTGCTGGGTTTCTCCAATACCTGTATCTCCTCACTCATGTAAGATCTCACAGAACAGAATAATGCATGCTTCTTACTGCAGGAATCCGAAGCGGTCCACCGCTTTATACAGATCAAAATTGGCCTCCTCCCACGGCTCCACCTCCGCACTTTCTTTACCCTGAAAGCACAAATAACACAAAGCTGTGATTACACATCAGTTGAGGCACTGTTATAGTGTGTATGTGTGCGTGCGAAGTTGCTGTAGGCTTGAGTTCTCTACTGATCTGTGAATTTGTTGTTCATACATATTTAAGGCAGGTAATGAGGGGTGGACAGGTTCAGTATAACACAAATAAACAATTCAAACAGCAGAAATAAAGAGAGAGGGGTGACTAGGGCAGAAACAGATCATCCTTGAGTAAGAACAGTGTGTTTACAAAAGTAGAAAGACACACAAGTCGTGTTCTGACCACACATACGCACAGCTTTTTGTTTTTTCATTTTTCTAAAAAAAAAGTTTTCTAAGGTTAAACGTGTGCAGTTAATTCTGAGCCGCTTGACATAGAGACTTCATTTAAAATTTGTTTTGTATATATTTTCATTCTTTAAGGAGCAGACAATTAAAAAAAGATTCTGTAGAGGAGCTGGTGCGGACTGATTTCTTCACTTTAAGTGGGGATTGAAATCTGACGCTCCACTTCACTCTCAGTTCCAGTCTGTGGCTGCTTTTGGAACTATTTTCGTTTGCAAAAAAAGACTGACCTGCAGAACCATGCCTATCAATGAAAACAAGGCGGTGAGATAAAATATGTACAGTCCATTCATTAGGTTGACATCGGCCATGCACCAATGTTAAAATTCATAATTATAATCATAAGCCAACGATGATTTTGATAGATAACCGATAAATAGACAATACTAAAATTGTATACTACTTTGTGAAACTAATTTATAAAAATGAAATAAATACAATTATTATAAAATATGGTAATAAATGAATAGTAGTAGTGGTGGTAGTAGTAGTAATAATAATAATAATAAATACATAATATAGACATTTTCAACACTTTGCGTACACTATGCACATCTACTTTGACTAATGACCATTTTTGAGTCACATTTTCGATGCGTTACATAAGCATGTGAAAAGAAAGGTGAAGCACTTTACCCACTGATAAAATCATTCATCCCAAAAGCCATTAACCTGTCAGGCCAATAACTAACTGTCTATATATGCAATATGTGCACTTTGTCATGCTGGCAAGAAAATCTTTGCAAATTTAAATGTAACGCAAATGTGAAGGTCTTAATAGATCTGGGAAGCCTGGAGAATGAGAAAAAGAACAGGAGGAATCAATCGGCACAAGCGAGAACAAGAGTGGGAGCCATAAAAAAGAATGAGTATGAAAGAAACCGAGAATCGGAGACAAAATATGAACTGGTACAGAGAGAAGCCATATCAAGGGCACATGCACACACAATCATTTATCTCCCTCTCACCCTCTGGTGTGTGTCACAGGCATAAATTTACAGTGGGATATGATAATCTGATAGCATGTCACAGTGACATGGCTGTGGGAAATATTTCGGCCAGTGAAACGCGCCAAGGACGTACCCCTCCTCCACTGTTTTTTCTCATGTCTTTCTGCATTTAATTATCCCTCTTGAGAAAATGACCTCACAAGAACAATATTACATGTAATAACAAGTTTAAATTTGATATTTGGATAACATCAGTGGCATTCACACTTCCCTTCTGTTACTTCCTTCTGAAATGTTCCATGAAACTTGACAACACCCACATCTAGAGCCTAAACAACATGAACATCAGTGGCACCAGTTCCAGGATATACATCATAAAGTTTGTTGCAGATGCGCTGCTTTGATGGCTGTAAATGCGATGCTTTTAGGACACATCTTCTCAGAGAGGGTTTTATTGTGCTGACAGTCCAACTGTTACTATTGGAAAGGAAGTTGGGCTCTAAATTCATCCCTTTTAACTAGGGATGCACCGATATGAAAATTTTGGCCGATACCGATAACCGATTATTCTTTATTTTTGAAAGCCGATAGCCGATATGTTGGACGATAAATCTATATCCAAATTGTTATATATTTTTTGAGAGCCTGATTACAAAAAAGGTCTCATCATTAAAAGCCACATCCCAAACACTAAGCAGCCTAGTTTGAACGGTGTACGTTTTAAAAATAATTTTACTCTCCCATTACCAAATTTAGTCATAAAAAAGCCTTACAAATAAATAAAATAATGCATAAATAATGCAAACAAGTCACTGGACATCATTACACGTGTAAAGAATCAAAATGAATGCGCCATAGATCAATAAAACAGAATAGCCTCTGCACGGACAATAATTAAATGATTTTAATTACTAAACCATATTGTTGATGAAAATAATAAGAGAAAAATACAAGTGGTTGTTGTTATTAATAATGTATCAATGATTTTGAAAAAGTAACAAATTAATACCACTGTTTTAAATAGCAGCCATTGAGCTGCAGCTCAAGCTGAAGCTGAAGAGCTGAATGAACATGGTAAACTGAAGCGTTTTGCTGGCAGCTTATTTAACTCAAGGAAATGCATCCTGAGATTAATATTAATACAACATAAACATAATATTACAACTTATATATGTACAAAATGACGCAGTTATTGCATGCTATAGTCAGAATGTGTGATCCTGTTGTGGATGCGCTCTTCCCATAACAACGCACTGAAACACAGCAACTAAACACAAAGAAT